AATGCAAGTGCGTCGTCATAAAAACAAAAAAATCATGCAATTCTGAATTCTGAAGATAGCATGAATAATAATTATGCAATAATTAATTAGTACAGGCATTCTCTAGTAGTGTCTGATTCAAACAAGTCTTTGACTATGTGCGACATCGTTCAGAATAAGCCAACTTCAATATAAAATGATGATTTCTACAACTTATAATACTTTGAAATATATAATTAACTCTATTAACAGGTATTATATGCTTTTAAATGGCTTGACCCGTGACACTGACCGTCGTCAGGTCAGGCTAGCTGGCTTAGTGGACTGGTCCGTGTAATCCAGACCAACCCAATACAAGCAGATTCATCACATCCCTAAAGTTTTATATAGTGTATTATATGTATATATATATATATGTATGTAACTCAGCAAGTATATATATATGTGTTTCTCAGTATGTATGTATATTTGACCGTATTTGACTGCACGGATGCGCTTCCTACTGCGCCGAGTGTTGTGGGTTCAAACCCCACATGGGACGACACTTTGTGTGATCCACAAATTGTTGTTCTGAGTCTGGGTGTCCTTTGTGTCCGTTTCATGTATGTTTGTAAAGCCCCCCGCGACACAGGAATGTATTCCTAATGCGGGAGTTTTCTTTATAAAAAAGAGAAAGAGAAAATATACGTCAGACTAGTTCTGTCCATATCCTTAATTATTATTATCTCGTTACGTATAAAACTTCATTTCTAGTGCACCTACTCAGACATTTCCCCACCACCCAAAGGTAGACTGGAAGAAAATGCCGGTAGCATTAAGTCCGCCATTGTACAATGAATTGTTGTTTGTGCAAAAAGAAATAAATGAAAAAATCATTCATATTATCTCATTGAATATGATTGTTAATATATGTACCTACCTTATGGGATAGGGATTTCCATATTGTCTATTATATTATTTGCACAAAGAGGATATGAGTTTTATCGTTACGCAAATTTATTTTACCTTTTCAGTATCCCTGTTATGTACTAGGTCTTTAATATCTATGATAATAAGCGATATTGTACTTCAAGTTATTAAGCGACTCCATTGGTAAGCGATTTTTTCATGTCTCATTGATTTTATGAATCGAATTTGGAATATTCGTTTTTTGTTTTGACCTTTTTGGTTCCATTTGATTTGAGAAGAAGAAATTTCACTGCGAAAGGTGGAAATTCAAGAAATAAAGCAAAAAGATTATTATTCGCACTGACTACATGGATGGCGTAGTGATTTAAGCGGTCACCTCGCCGCTGAGTGTTTGAGTTCGATCCCCACATGGGACAACACTTTGTGTGATCCACAAATTGTTGTTCTGAGTCTGGATACATACAAACATGTACACAGATAGTATTTCACCTTATTGATACACTTTGAAAAAAAAAAGAGAATACACACAAAATCATTGATCAATGACCCCATGCTAGGAAAATCCTGTGTTATGGGAGTCATCCATCCGTCTGTAATGTGTTCAAGTGTGCTTTAAATGTGATTGTTGTTTATATATATATTTGTTTTTAATGATAACGGCTTGACCGATTCTCATGAAATTTTGTGTGCACATCGGGTAGGTCTGGGAATCGGCCAACATCTATTTTTCATACCCCTAAATGGTAGCAACGTTTGCCGGGTCAGCTAGTAAATATGTATATATACATAAGTACACATGTAGTAATTATGTGTGTTTTAGTTTAGGTAAGTTCGTTGTGTTTTCATAAATGAATGTAAAGTATCCCGCGATGAGAAATTGGTCATGATTGAAGGCGTTAAAGTCTATGATACTTTTTTTTAAAGTTAAATATATTTCGCAACAAACTATACTGTAGAGTGAATACATCTTGATTTTGAAACATTGTTTGTTATTCTTGTTAAGTAGCCTAAATGTGGACCGATTTTTAGATGTAAATATTATCAAAGAGTTTCGTAATTTGTGTCAAGATCCATGTGAATTGGTTGCGCCAATGCACGTGTCTTACATTTCTCATGTTTAAACGGTTTACTATTCTATTTTATTAGTGTAAAAATTCAGTTAAACAATATGTAACGTTGTCTACCATAGCGTTGTTCTTGAAAGTCATTTAAGTAGACTTATGTTCAGCAGTGGATAGCCTATGGCTCAGCTGATGGTTGCCGAATATTTTTTATTCTTCAATGAACCCTTGTTCTAACCTTGATTTGTTATGCTGAATAACTAATCAACTATGCTATAAAGCCCCTCTATCTCGTCGATTCTATGACACCAGCAGCAGAAAAATAATCGTTGAGCCCAATGATATTTCAAATATAAAAAAAATCATTGGTTGAGCCTAAAACATTGGTCTAATTGAAATATAAATTTTTTGAAACCAATAGAGTAGTTATTTCTAAATATGCCTATCACATCAACAGCCCTTAATAGTCCACTGCTGGACAGAGGCCTCTCCTTAGAAAACAGGTATTGGGCCACCATACCATACCTTGGCGTACCACGCTGGCCAGACGGGTTGGTATAAAGGTTGTGTCAAGTTTTACTTCTCTTTGCAGTGCTGTTGTTCTGTGTAGTTAACTCCATTAGTCTGCTCTTACAACACCCACGGGATGAATAGGTAACAGTCCGTATTCTTAATCCAACACCACACGGCAATATACCTATGAATATTGCAAAACAAAGTTTTGAAGTAATGTTTATACTTATTACAGTTCACCATCTGTAAACCGACTTCTCGTGCCAATGCATTTAGTAACTACCTTTACTTACAAAATATCATAACACTGCAAAATATATTCCGACTTTCTTTTGAAAAATCCTTCGCGAAGGCTGCAAGTCGTAAAAACCGCTTTAAAACCCTGATTTGAATTGTAAGTAATGTATACCTTGAAATTTATGCAAAGCTAAGCTATGTAACTTTATGCGGATTTAATAAGAATTTTCTGTTTTTCTATTTTTTTTACTTTCTCGAAGTCACGATTCGGTCAAAGAGTTCACGGTCGCACGAATATGTATAAAAGATTTACTTATACAACGAAAAATAAACCTTTCTACAATTGCCACAAAGGTCATACTACCGAAACTGTAGATCGAAGATCCTGTAACACGTCCAATAAAGACAGATCTCTTTGATTTGGATTCTGGCATTAACTTGTACGGGAATAAAACTGTTAATACAAGTGAAAGTATCAAGATATTCTGGTCGAGGCGAGCTTAGTTTTTGCATAAAAAAGCAATGGAAACATGAAAGCCAGATTAATATACTTAAGGCTTACGGTTAAGCTGTTATTGTTCTGGTATGTTGAATCATTATACTGATTCGCTGTAGGAATTATACAAAGAAGGATTGTCCTGGACTTAGTTCAGTCGGGGAGATGTTCAGTGAAAAGGAACTGTTTTGTCAGTTTAAAAAAGACGTATAATAATATAGACTGTCTTTAATGTAAACCGGCTTTTAAAATTCCTATTTCTATTTTTGACGACCGGATTGCATAGTGGTTTGTGTAACGGACTGCTATTCCAAAGTTCGCGGGTTCAAACAAACTCAAGTCAAACATTTGTGTGCATGAACATTTAATGTTTGATTTGGTCTGGTTGTTTCTATGTATAATATGTATGTATTTACAAAAAAAAAAGTATATATAAGTAACAATAATAACCTCACACATCACACATCAAACTGGTATTTATATCAGTTGTCTAGTAGCCATAGTACAAGCTCTGCTTAGTTTGGGACTAGATGGCGTTGTGTGAATGTGGTAGAATATATTATATTACTATTATTATATTATTTCTTGTAATAATAGGTAGGTGCCTATGAAAACTAAAAACTTGATACTCGCAAAAGTTTTATTATACAGCTAGCTTTAGCTTTGCATTTGTTACTCGCTAATAATATAGCTTTATGTAGCTTTCTGAGAATGTGTTTTAGACGTGAAAGCGTAAAAACAAACTAACAAACTCACTTTCAAATTCATCACTATAAATTTCAACAACAACAACTTCTACTGAAGTATGGAAGTATGGATGTTGTGACTCTGTCTGCAAAAGGGTTACCTTAATTGCCGCTAGCTCCTAACCTAAATTGTTTATTATTTTTGACAGATTTCAAATTGAGCCTGCAACATTAACATTTCGTTGACAATCACAGGCTTTATTTATTGTTCTAACTTTAGTTATGTTCTATTGTTTGGTTAGTTTATGATTTACATCCAGGGGTTTAGAAAGATTTTTTAACAATCGTATTTTAAAAAAGTAGTAATTATAGTTGAGTGTTGTATGGAAACTTTATAATTTAAGTGTTAGCAGAAAAGCTAGAATAAGCATACTATACTATAATGTATTACAGCACTAATAATTCTTTTAAGCAAAATCTCTCTATTTATACAAAAAAATCTTTTTAATGTAAATCTCTGCCATTTCCATTAAGTAAATCCTTTCTCCTCAAATCGTAATCCCAACAAAACGGTGCGCTAAAGTAGGATTACGTAGAACCTTTCAATGTCGCGACCTTGGCTGTCTGACCTTCAAGGACGATTTGACCTCAAGAGCTCTCGCTCCCGAGGCCGTTAACCTCTAAGTACTAGACTTACCAAGGGCTCTGCTGCGATGGTTAATAGGTATATACTTTGTAGATATATATTTGTTTAGGCACAGCGGTAGAGAATTACATTTAAGTTTTGTTTGCCGTCATTTTCAGCAAGCAAGCATAGTTTACGTAATTTTATTTGGCTTTCGTTCTAAATGGGATGACAATTTAAGGGTTAATTGGGGAAACTGTTTTCGTGTATCACATGTATTACAGTTATTAAGAAAGATTCGAAATAATGAATTTATTATTAATTACGAGTAAATACACGCTAATATAATTATTTACGAATAAATACATTCGAATGGAGATTGAATACTGTGGTGGCTATTATTAATTTGAAGCGTATTAAAAATAGTTAGACTTATATTAAAATATAACTTACCGTTTTGCTTTCATTCTTAATTTGTTTTTATTTTGTTACAGAGACAAGACTTGGAGGGACAATCTACAAATACATCAGTATGTCAACGACATAAGCTATGGTGGACGTTAGGCATAGACATTCCTTTACTATTAATATGTAAGTATTACTAACGTAATGTTTTAATATAAAACAATATAGAATTGTACTCGTAAGATACCAACCTCGTTAATACTGCCATTTTTTTATTTTTTCTACCAGTTGTGTTGCCAAATACATAAAGGTTATTTAAAAAGTTAGCAAAGCAACTTGCTTACGTCTTCAGTAATATTTTGCTTTTTTCTGAACAGAACATGAAAGATTATTGTACTTAGTAATTTTACATTATTTTTCTTTTAAATATGAATTCTATTCTAAACGAAAATAACAAGAAGCTAACATTAAATATTTATCGAACAAATTTGTTCTTATAACGGAAACATCCAATTAAACAACATGAATAAAATAAATATTGATGATTTTTATATCTTGACTACCAAAAAGGGAATCCGTTTCATTGCACCGAGGAAAGATATAATTATGGTTGAAAAAATAAATCGCATCCATTTATTTTGATATGTCTTAACTCCTGCATTTAAATTTCGACTGTATCTCAACGGGGTAAAGTACATTTTTAACTCAAAAATGCTTAGTGATGCCAAGGTAAAAATAGGAACTGTGAATTGATTTTATACGCACACGTAATATTCTTTTTGTTCTTTTAATGCAACCTGCTTAGAAGAATATTTTATAGTAACACCTACTTTTACCAATTTGTTTATTTATTAATTAGTTATATTCTTTTCCTTTTCCTTGGGGTATTTTTATTTAGTGTACGAGCGTATAAATTTCTACATAGAACATTTTTATTTTTGACCAATAATAATACTTTATCTTCAGTTAGTATTTATTGCGGTAGTGTGTTATTGCAATATTCCTTTAGGACAGTAAAGGAAAATAATACATTAATACGTAATTATCCCTTTATCACAAGTAGTCACACGCACAAATCCTTCATAATAACAACAAACAAATAAATAATAAGAACATTACGTTCTATGTCAAGTAATTTATTTGCATGTTCAAACAATAGTCACGAGATAAGTAAAATTCCCCTTTTCTTAAGTTTTGTTTTGTGTTACCACTTCACAAATAACTCTAGCCATGTAGGCACTAAGATTTTGCTATAGTAATCAGAGAGGACTGCTAAATATTAATTAGTTTCATAAAACGTATGTCACTCACAACCAAAAATATCAAATAAAATTAAAAATAGATTGTCATCCCAAAACAGTAAAAAATGTTTATGAGATACATGTGATGGACCCCACACTGTAGTTAAGAGTTGCCAGAATTTAAAATAAAAATAGCACATTATTTAATTTTTGGTAATCGTTGATACAAATCTTTTAATGGAAAATTTTAGAATCGAAATTTCTACAGAAACAATTTGAAAAAAAAAGTAGGTAACGTTTCAAACCTATTGCTCGTCAAGTCGTTACATGACGTACTCTCCAGTCATACTTCTCTTACGAGACTCATATTACTACAAATTCCCATACCTAGGCTGATACCTATGTGTTTCTAAGTAACTACGCAAGTGAAGACGTATGTAAGGAACGTAATTCGAACCTTGTAGTGGATTTACGTACTACTGTGATGTGTAACACATATTTAAGTCAATATGAAGTCCTTTGTATATAAGTTTTCACTTGCTTTCCAAAGCAAAGCCTTGCTTTAAAACAATTTGCTGTTTACTCAGTTATTTTCTTTAATTTTATGTTAATTTAATTTATAATTCATTTATAAAAGAGTTATTTAATTTAAGATCGCGTCACTTTCTCTCATCATTTAAGATAATTAAAAATAGTCAAATAAAGTAAAGTTTCGCAGATGGCAACTCAAACCGCATGTGACAGAATGCAAGCAATCGCAGTCACTGTTTACGAAAACGAAAAAAAAATCTGTGCTAACGACCTTTTGACATAATACGAGCGTTTATCAGGGCAGCTATTCAAAACTTTAAAAATAGGATGCGTTAGAATAGAAACGGTGTCATTTTTTATGACATGCAATATTATAAAGGTATTCATTTTTAAACATAAATATTAAATCTGGCTTTGTAAACATAAATATTTTACAAAAATGATTCAATGATTGCTGTGTGTACAAATTTACAGATTTTTTTTTTTTATTTACCAATTTTATTTCAAAATATTAAGATTATTTAGTTTGGATTTAATTTTAAACGGCTTTAGTCATTTATTTTAAATACTCTCGTGGCTAAGTCAGAACCGAGTAGGTAAACACATTGCAGAGTTAAGCAATCCTAGCCAGGTCAGTCTATGTGTGGGTGGCCATTATTCTCATGATGGGTGTCACACATTGAGACCCATCCGTGCTTCGGAGCGACCGTTAAGACTTCGCTCGGTTCTGCCCGGTTGCCATACGAACATCTTTCGCAATCGTTACGGGTAGATGGAGCCCTAAAAAGTCCGACAACAGTCTTTCTACAGAACTTCGATGGGTCCTGGAGGTCTGTTGGCATTGGCATTCGTTCGACCGTATCGTAGTAGACTTAAAGCTGACGCCAACCTAGTTTGGGCAAAAGGCTATAGAGGGGGGGGGGGGGGTTGGAAGTTATTTTAAATACTCCAGTATATAGAATGATTAAATTTTCAGTTAACCGTGGGAGAGACTCACTCAAAGGGCGCCAACACACTAGTGATTCTTGAGATATATGTGTCCATTGGCGCCAGTAGTCACTCTTGCCTCCCTATGCCATAAAAAAAACAGTGGCACTCCGGGAGTGCCGACAGAATGGGCGTCGGTAGTCACTTACGAGTACTATCAGGCGGTAGTCAGACCCGTCTACTCTTGCCCCCTATGCCATAAAAAAAACAGTGGCACTCCGGGAGTGTCGACACAAGTGAAAACTTATATACGAGTACATATACACGTAACGGTAAGTGTCGAGAGGTCAATGTTTTTTTCCCATTTAAAAAAAAATGTGTTTTTCTTAAACCATATAAATACATTCTTTTGTTTGTTGTTCAAAAATGCCCAACGCTCCTAAAGAAGTTTGCACTTAAAAAAAGAGAAAAAATATGTGAGAACCTATATTTTACGCACTAGACTGTATTGTGTTACAATATGTTTTATCAAGAACATTATCTATGTAGATTATAGATAAGCTAACTCCTGCCCTCTAATTCTAAAACGTATTATTAATACACATTATTACAATAATTCCAGCCAGTATCAAAATCTTGATATACAAAAAGTGTTATTTGTGTCCTTTTTGTTTTACAATAACTTCTAATAGTCTTTGAATGGAGTAGTGCCAACGTCACAAGTGCTAGTTTGACTGGACGCCCTGGCGCGCAGCTCGCTTTGTTATTTCCACCACCAAGTGGGATTTTAATCGATACCTATTTGTGGCTGTTCAATTTAACGGTCATTATCGCGGTGATCGATTCCCGATTAATGTTGTAATGTACGGTTGGATAATTATAGATCTTTGTCACGAACGGGCTAAATTTACCAACAACAACAATTCATCTAGACCATACATATAGACCGTAGATAAAGTTTAATAGCGCAATTTCAGTTGTTATTAATATTAAAACGCTGATCAAAATCAATTTACGAAATTACACCCTTTACACAGACAATTGAGATTATAGAAAAATTGATTTTAGCGCCCTCTGTTGCCGAGTAGCAGTAACTTATACATTTTATTTTTACAACTTGTTTTTTTATTTTAACATACTACGAGTATTACATTTTATTCTTCAGTTATTAAAATGACAGTCAATATATGTAAAAAAAATATGTATAGTTCAACAACACTACAATGGTATAATGGGTCATTGTATTGGTGCACCTCATCTTTCAATCAGTCCTGCAAGTGCATGTGCAGCACCACGCGTTCTGTCACACGGGGTGCCCAACGTGGCGGATGACCACAATCGCTCAATTATACCCACACTTACGTCAAAGACTAATCTATTAGAAAATTGTTCGTAGCGTCACGCTTGTTAAATAACTATAACAAATATATTAGGTATCTAAATTAATACATAATAATATTCTTCACTTCACCACATAATTACCTCAACCATAGAGCAAAGAAACCTAAAGTATTTATTTTTTAAACGAGTGTATCTATGCTCAATGAGTGTTGATTGAAGCTTGATTGAACGATTCGAAAAACGAATTTATACATTTCTTAAACGGTTATAAAAACATTTGCTTTGTCTTGCCTTTGTATCAGAGACCTTAAAGTATTTTTTAAATTAATTTATGCGGCTCCTGGGAGCGGTTATCTGTGCCTATAAACACTTCGAACAAAGATGGTCGTCGGCACTCATCAACCATATACTGGAAGTACTACTACTACTAAAGCTCTGATATACAATTATACGAGTATTGAAGAAGACGTTTTGAAAGATGTTATACATATAAGAAGCATTAAATTAGCGTAATTCAGGTTTTTTTTTAATAGCTACGAATTGATCCCACAGCGGGAAGAGAATAGCGAATATAACTCTGAATAAAGATGCGACCATAGATTCAAAAATGGCAAACTAAAAGTATTTACTATTTTCTACAATAATTAAAGAACTCCCAAAATAATTGCAGCTATGTCGGTTCTTTGCAGATTTCTGTAACTTTACAACAGAAACTTTTATAACCGAAATGTCAGAATTATGTTTCTTTGAACGAAATTTCCTTCACGGTGTGTCGTAACACTTCATGCAAGAATTGTATCGTGTTTACTCACGTGCAGCAGTAACGTGCCAATCTGAGAGCCTGGATCGCTCGTAACAGGCAGTCTGATCGCGTAACATCCTTACGTGAACACTAAGGGCTTACTGAAAGGCATATCAACGTTCTGAAATTGTATTGCTTTTAAAATTTAAATGAAAAAAAAACCTAATTTAAAATCACAATTCAAAATTAATTAATATACTTCTATCCCTCTGGTGACGTATTAAGAATACGGAGTATCACTACCCCTATTCAACCCATAGGTGTCGTAAGAACCGACTAAGGGAGAGAACTAAGCAAGACAACAGCACTGCAAAGAGAAGGAAAACTTGAACCAAACCCTATACCCACCCGTCTGGCCAGCGTATAGTAGGCCTGAACCTATATATTATGATCTAGCATATCCCCCAAATTGCGCAGTCCTATGACATTGAGTTGGACGTCGACCGCCATTAGCCAATTTATTTGCCAATCCCCCAAACTGCCAGTTCAAAGTCAATGTCGGTCAACCAGGAACAACCGGTTGTAATGACAAAATATATGCGTAGAACGGAACACGTACACACCTTGATTTCTTCAAGGCACTTTTTGGTATGGATTTTTTTGGATTTTTTGATAAGAGTAAAAGATTACCTGCCTTAAGGTATGGGGGCATGGCTCTATGTGTTTTACCTTGATTGTTACCACATTAGATAAATATGGCAAAAAGTCTAAGTTTCTTGAGGCTTGTTCTCAGTCAGGTGTCAGTTGGACGCCTCAGTAAAAGCACACGAGATGACGAATTGTCAAGAGACTTAAATGATAAAAAAGATATTTTATTTCATGGTGAAGTAGTAATGAGATAAAATAGTTTTAAATAACGTACGGAGAACGTGAATAATTATACCAATTATCTAACATCGTTTTTGTTTCTTCTTCCACAGACCTAGCGCTTGTCGGTCTGTTCGAATTGGGCGTGATCCCAAATCGAAAGGGAGGCTTCCACTGCAATGATCCCGCGCTCAGCCACAAGTTCACCGGCGACACCGTCACCACGGAAGTCATCATGTCTACGATACTGATTATACCACTCATCTTCGTAAGTATTCATAGATCTACCGACCTAGTAACTACGAGATCACTTAATTCTTAGGAGTTATTCATTAATTATGTTACATGAGTTTGATGATTTTTCGACTCTCCCTCCGTTCCTATCACAAATGGACACATAAATATAAAACTCTCTCCCTTGCGTGACTTTAAATAACTTTGTAATTTAAAACAGAAATAAAGAAGGATTTTAAACCCAGAATTGAATAAGTGAAGCAGTAGTTTCATAATTGTTATTCGTTTATAAGAATACAGAAACTCAAAAGTTGATGAGAACTCGCCAATAAAACAGTTTAACCTTATATGGCATAAAGATAGAACAGTTTTTAAATATTTTCGTTTACAATTAATAATGTTTTGTGTTTGAGTACTCCACTTCACCTGTCTCATAATGTGACACTTCGTTGAGCTCTCCCTCCTGCCGTGTAACGTAATTTCTGTATGCCTCCTTAAATAATACAGCTGAAGATTTCATTGACTTTCCATGAACGAAATGATTTCTGAAACTACAAATAGTGTTCGTAAAACATTATTTTTACTTTAATATCGCAAGACTTTTTTTTTTTTTTCTCTGTTTGGGATAACTACAGCTAGCATTATTAAAAAACACATAAGACATAATACACAAGCATCTGATGGCCATTTACAAATATCCGCGATTAGTTCGAACTATTTAATTTCACGCTACAACTCTTAGGAACAGAACAGTGATCGTAAAAGTTGCTGAGACTGTGGGGAATTTCTTGTGAATAATCTTGTTCATATACCACTGCATTATAATCTCCCAGAATATTATTATCAGTATTACTATTGGCATAAAATATTATAACAGATTTTTGCTTTCCTTACAGCTTTTGCCGACCGAATATCTTTTCGTACAGTCAGATTTCTTGGGCCAGTCGAAGCTTCGACGGTCGTTGAAGAACTGTTTCTACTTATACAGAACTTATATCTACGGACTGATCATGAACCTTGGAGTCGTGGAAGTCATGAAGGGCCTTATGGGCAGCCCACGACCCACGTTCTTCGATTTATGCCAGCCAGATGCCGCTAAGACTTGCAATGGGTAAGTTGGTTTAATTTATCTTTCTAGTTTGAGACACATCAAAGAAACAGCAGGATTTCCGCTTGTGTTCACTTACAATTATAAAACAATATGAAGTAATGAGTTACTTAAAAAAATCAGAGAATTTATTTATAAACTGACCCATAATATTAAAAAGTTTGTTTCTTTGAACGACCTAATCTCGGAAACTAGTATTTTGAATTGAAAAATTCTTTTAGTGTAGCATAGCCCATTTATCGAGGATGGCTATACTCGTATAACATCGCGCTACGATTCAGTAGGAGCAGAGCATCAATGAGAAATATTGCGAAAACGGGGAAAATTTATTAATTTTGAGAGACGAAGAAAAAGCTAGTAGTAATGGTACAAAATATTTTAATATTAGTTTGTTATATCGAGCATGTGTTGTGCAACATTTGTCGTTTTATTAGTTAGAAATGACTACTAATTATTACTGCTGGTGTTAAGCAATTCTTTCGTTGCTTTTCTCTGAGTATGTAAAGTTACCGGTGCCCAAATTCCCCCTCCCGCTGACTTGAGCGGGAGGGACTCCAAGGGCGGCACCGCACTCGTGTGCACGTGTCCATGGGCGGCGGTAGTTGCTTACCATCAGGTGACTCGGCTGCTCGTTCGCCCCTTTTACCATAAAAAACAAACAACTAATACTCTTAGTAGTAATTTCTAAGCTATACTGTAGCTTCTCAGCTTCCCTAACTAACCAAAGCTTAAACAAACATGGTATAATTGAACTATCAAAAAATCATTCATTGTTATATCTATGCTCACTTATGGTACTATTCAAAAATAATGACCCAATCTTACTCGACGACTGGTCACTTCTACACACATTGTTCGGTCACTGACTGTCCAGCTCTCAGTTTACGACTTCCTCCATTAAGGGATATGTTTGAGGAGTAGGAGTAATATATTTGACATTGGGTACCCAGGAGACAATAAGGTAATCATAGTTAAAATGTATAATGGTATGACGTAGTTGGCAATTTAATGCATATTACAAAATCTACTAACCAAAGATTATCATTTAGACGCTGTTTATAGAACTATCGTCCTTAAAGGGATGAGATAAGGGTTTGTTTTGTATTACCAAGGATTACTTTGTCCACGTTTAAACGTTTAGGGTTGCTTAAGCGATAATAATTATAAATAATTACTTTTAAAATGTAATTTACTATTCGAGATACTACAAGATTATGTAAGCGTACAAGCAGTTTGTTGGTATGCGAATAATACAATGTCAAAACCTAACCTGAGAGGCTAGCCTTTATGTAGATTTTGTGTGGTATTCTGTAATATTTCTGAGACTAGCGACAATCCTGATTTTCGATATGTAAATAGGTAATTCGTAATCAATGTAAGAGAAACTTATAGTTCGATTGGAAATTGAATCACTTAATTGGAAAATTTCTTGATTTAGGCAGTCGGGTAGCTTCAAATATGTCTTTAAATCTGACGTTAAAATATATTGCAGGTAGCTCTTTGGTTCTATCATATACAATATGCATGTTTTTGTTTCCAGGTCTGAGTACGTAAGTGACTTTCAGTGCACCCCCAACCAGTACGGGAGCTGGTACCAGATGGATTCCTACAGGAGCTTCCCATCGGGACATGCATCTTTGTCCGTCTACTGCGGGTTCTTTTTGGCAGTAAGTATTTCTGAAAAGAATAAACCAGTTATTGTTACTTAAACAAGTTTCATAATTCAAGGGTTTTTTTGTTAGCAAAATACATTATATTCTAATTCAAAAACCTTAAGTATTATAGTTAATTTGCTTCTGTATAATTATAAAATGACGGCAATTGAAACATTTAGAAAAATCCGGGAAAGAAAGTCATGGCCCAGTTTTAATAGTTACAACCAAATTATTTGAACATTTAATTTGATTAACAGAAGTTACATAAACACATAGAGTATTTATTTAGTAAATTATTTTGATTAATGTATTTTTTTATTTTGCAGTGGTACCTCCAAAGACGTGCGTTTAATTGGCAACACCGAACCATTTTCCTTGTGCCCGTCCTACAGCTACTCTGCGCCAGTTTCGCCGCAATCTGTTCTCTGACCAGGATCACAGATCATCGACACCATTGGTGGGACGTCCTGGTCGGCACATCTATTGGATTCCTGACTGTTTTATATGCTGTAAGTTTGATTTCCATAATCTTTGAATGTTTCAGAGGATACTTGTTTTACATTAACTAGAATGAGGATAGAAACTTTGTCTAATATTCTAATCTCTTGAAGTTACAATAAACATGATGGTGATTTCATAATTAAGCTTTTAAATGATCAAACTTTTAAAATTAACTGAAGTCTCAAACTCCCTAAATGTACCTGTTATAACTGGCTAAACCAGCAGTTTGATGTCTGAGTTTTGATCACCACATGATACCCTAAATATGTGACATGTTAATAATTTGAACTGTGACGGAATAAGAGACCTTCAGAAGATATTTATAAAAATCATTCTCCTTATTCTAATATGGTTCTTAGTATTTTCTAACCATAATAAAAAGTATTACCATTCAAAGTTGCAAAATTTTATCGAAATTGTATCAAGAGGGTTCTGCAATAAGGGATAATTCCTTGAATTCCGTATAAAAATGAACACATTATTCGATTTCTTTAGATGATATTAAATACATATATTAATTAATTTAACCATTAAAGCTGAAGTTAGTTAACTGGAGCTGTGCTATGATAATTATGTATTTCCAGCAATGAATGACTATTGCTGTTGAGAGATATTTTTAATTATTAGGAAAACCACAACAAGTTTATTTATCATCCTTAATAATATTGCCTATAACGTTAATTCTCGCGTAATTATTTAAAGTTAAATGATACGATATAGTTGAAAGGGCTAACTGTATTTATATATATAAATTTAGGTACCTAGAGTTTATATGTTTATTGACAGAATTAGAGGAGTATGATACATGTCATATCTTAAAAACTTTGACTAAATATGCCTTTTATAACAAGTGCATCTTATTTCTAGAAACCCGTGATTATAATAGTAGGATACTAAGGAAGCTTAAACTTAATTTACGGTTTTAGCGAATCGCAAATAACTTTGTGTTACACATCGATTCATGGTAATACTCGTAGAGATATTTAATATAATCGATAATAAATTACAGGATCTATTGCGATGAATCACAGTATTTTCATGAAGTTATTTGATTCACGTCATTCTTATCGATGTTGGTATTTTGATAGCGATAAGTGTACAGAATTACAAACTATAGAATTAATTCAGACGATCTGCTGTTACAATTTTTTGTAGATTTTTTGTTTATTGTCTTTTAGAACTTTGTTTCTTAATCAATATTATCTTTTTTAAGGTGGTGTTAACCAAAAACTTCAGATACGACTATTCAAAACCAACGAGCGACATAAAGTCAGAGAGCGTGAATACAGTAAAGACTCTTTTGTTTGAAGAACGTCGCAGAGAAACCATACCTTAATATCGAAGTGACATTTAGAAATACCTCGGAAAAACACTGGTATGAAAAGGAAAGAGTTTGTCTATGATCGACAGCTTTAAAAGCTGTGGTCGAGGCGACCGTGACGTCATTTGGCTAAAGTTGAGTTACACGAATGACATTTATGTTTTAAGATACCGCACTTTTTGGGTTTTATAGTATGAATTTGAATTGTTTAATATAAATACAGGGTTTTATGAGCTCGATCTAATGTAATATCAGTTAGTCTTGAATTCTTGCTCTATTTATCGTAAAACATAAGCAGTTAGCCTATAAAAATAAGTTATGGATACAAGCCATTTCAAAATTGTGGTAAATTAAATTTTAGCAATGCAACATTAAGTTAAGTTGCCATAGTCAAAAAACAGGTGCACGAACGTTTTACAAAAGTTATTTAAGTGTAAAGAAGTTAGTTAGTTTCTGTGCACATAACCTTTTTAAATATGTTAAGTTTATGTATGTAAAAAATGCGATACCTACTCCATTTCTATATATAGGAGTATAAAAACCTATAAAAATTACATTTTTATTGGTTAAGTTAATGTACTTAAAAGTAATTAGTTAGGTAGTAAAATAAATTGTACATTGTATGTACTACGTAAACGAAAATTAAAAAAAGGCTGTAACATATATTAATAAGTCGCGCCTGTTTGTGTGTATGTGTTTCTGCGTGTATGAGTTTTTTTACGTCGACAAAAAAATAATAAAAATAAAAATAAACAATATAATTGTTATCAGTATTATTTATTCTAGATAATAACTATGTTTTTTGTTAAATAGTTGTCTAGAATTGTGTAACTGTCCCAGAAACATAATCTGATCAGTGAATTAGTGTGTTAGTGTGTAGTGTGTAGATAGTAGTGTAGTGTCTTAGTGTGTAGATAGATTACAACAAATTACCTGAATTGTAATTTTCTATAAAATTAAACGATATTTGAAATACCTTAATTCTTTTACTTTTTGTAAGTGTACTAATGTTTGATTTACATATTATATACTTAAGCTCATATTTTCCTTTTCAAAATTGGTCTGCCTAGTTAAAGCTACGATTTTATCACATGTAGAATACATGACTACACTTCTCTGGGACCCTTTTCTTACAAGACTACCTAAAAAGGCTGCAATTTTCTCAGAGTTCATGTTTAAGAGGTTTTTTTAGTTCATGTAAATCTTTTACATACCTCAAACACATTTAGATGTGTGGGGTATCGTTAAAATAACTCAAAATAAAAATATTTTGATGAAAAAAACAAAACTCTTATCGCTTAGTATATTTTTTTAACAGGACTTCAGTTTTTTTTAGTAACTTATTATGAGTTCATAAGATTGTTTTTATAAGAGACACTAATATCTACGTATATTATTAATAACTGATAAAGTCATTTATTTTATTTATTATTCGGATAAATAAGCAATCAATCAATCCAAATTCCTTTTTCCGAAACACGATCGCCTCTTTAGAACCTTCTAGCTCCAACGGTCATCCTTAAGCAGACATGTTCAGCATATTGTCACTTCAATATAATCATCTACACGGCAAAACTTTCATCCCACCACTTGGATAATTGGCGCTCCACCACTGTGCGCTTTTCCAGACACTTTTTGCCCTCAAACCTTCAAGAAAAGAGCGTACTCCATAATCAAAGGCTGGCAACGCGATTGTGACTCCTGAGTGGCAGGCGTTCGCTCGCTTTCCACCAGGTGACCGTCTGCCTGTTTGCCATATTCCATAAAAAAAAATCTTCGAGCTATGTCGGTAACTTAAGTTCTTTGTCGAATAATTTTATAAGAAATTTTATCCTTCAAGGAAACTCCAGTCATTACTCTCTCCATAGCTCGCTGGGATACTTTAGTTTCTGGACTTGCACTACCGTACGTTATGGAAATATTCTGTTCTCGTCAAGAGGTTAGTGACAAAATGGTTACGAAACTCGTGCCCTTCATACGTCGGATCCCTTTGTCGGAGGGCCCAATGTAGGTCAACGTGTTGCATAACCGCTGGTCGGTATCTATTATACGCCATTAATAAAATAAGGATGTACAGATTGCTGCTTCAATTCCCGTGTGATGGACTGTGTGTTCGTGTAGGTACGTGGTGTTGCAATAGACATTCATACCATTGGTTTTGATTATTGACACTTATTCTATTTACATTCAAAATGTTGTGGTTTTAAAAGCCAACTAGCAATGGCTCGCGTGATTATTATATATATATTTTAACAGTCCACTGCTGGACATAGGCCTCTCCTAAGAAAGGAGGTTTTGGCCTACTATACCACGCTGGCCAGACGGGTTGGTATAGGATTTGTATCAAGTTCTCCTTCTCTCTGCAGTGCTGTTGTTCTGCGTAGTTTGCTCCCTTAGTCGGCTCTTACGACACCCGTGGGATGAATAGGGGTGGTGACGCTCTGTATTCTTAATCCGTCACCACACGGCAATATGCCTATAAATATTGCAAAAAAAAGGGTTGCAGTAATGTTTACACTTATTACAGTTCACCATCTGTAAACCGACCTCTCGTGCAAATAGATTTAGTAGCTACCTTTACTTACAAAATATCATAACACTGCAAAATATATTCCCACTTTCTTTTGAAAAATTATGTCCTTTGCGAAGGCTGCAAGTCGTATATACCGAGCCTATGTCCAGTTTCAATACGTGCATCAAACCACAACAGTTATTGGCATCAGCAGGAATAACATTTGAAGGTTGTTGTTTTCTATATGTTGCTACCTTTCGCGACTTCTATGAAGTATATCAACCTACTACGTACCTATGATTATTTACACTAAAAATGGAGAAATACACAATATTATAAAAAAAATACCGAATTAAAAAAACATCTAACAATAACTCCCTACCTGAAAACACTAAAAACCGAAAAATAAACTGAATTATTTATATAATTAAATTAATTGTCAATAAAATTCTTAATGAAAAATAATAAAGTATATAAGATATCATATCTTTATTTTCATGAAGTTATTATAGCTCCGAACAACCAAGCATACTCGATCGGGTGGAGATCAGGGCAGCGTGCTTGCCACACCATACAGTTAATTTTCATTCTTAAAAAGGTATTATGATCTCAAGTGTAATATGAGACTCGGCTCGTAATATGGCGCCAAGGGGTGGTGGAAGGTCAACACATTGCAAAGTTAAGGAATCCTAGCCAGGTCGATCTATGGATGGATGACCATTCTGAACGTATTGAGACCCCTCCGAGCCTCGGAGAGCTTGTTAATCCGTCGGTCCCGGTTGCGAACATCTGAGGCCCAAGTGCGAGTCTTCTACTGGATCGTCACGGTGACCGCGTTCAGCGATGTGATTGGCCCGCACTGAAATCTGCACCAATCACAATGCAAAACGCGCTCGCTGTCGAGAGATTGAGTTGATATGAAATATACTCACACTTGGGCCTCTGTTACAATAGTTATGGGTAGTTGCAGTTCTTTAAAGTCTGACAACAGTCTTTCGACAAGAACTTTGATATCGCGTAGTACCTACTTGGGTTGTGAAAGTCTAATGGGAGTCGCTTTACGTAAAAAAAAACTGAAAGCCGACCCCAACCTAGTTTGGGAGAAGGAGGAAGATGTAATATGGGACTAACAATCTATTTTGTTCTATTATTATCGTGCGCCTAAATTCCTTTAAAGGAGTACAAAGGGCTATGAGTAGATCTGGAGTCACTGCGATTATAAAGTCGTGCAGTTCACTAGCTCACTATCGCTGACGTCTGTATTGTGCTGTCAGAACGTCCACTTGATGTTTAATTGAATATGGAACATTAACAAGCTTTTGGGTACATAATATTACTTAATACTAGCGTTTGACCGCGGTGCCGTCCACGGGTATGTCTGCGGTAAAAAGTAGCCTATGTTACTCGCTGATATTTTTTTTAAATCGGTTTAGTTGTTAAGGCGTGAAATAGAAACAGACAAATGAAAGAACGAACGAACGAACAAACAAACATTCTCACTTTCACATTTATAATATAAGTATGGATATAAAACACTTTCACAGAAAACCGGTGATAAACATTTATTTCTTTGCTTTTCACCAAGTGGGTGAGATTACCGGCGGTGGTGCTCAAACCCCCCCTTCCCGCCATTACCAAGAATTATGGTATGAGGAGCACGCAAAAGGCGGCACAGTGCCTGGCCGCCTCTTGCGTGCTCCTTGCACTTGAATTAATTACTGAGAGAGAGAGGTTAGTTATCTATGAGTAGCTCGATCGCCTGCTAAGCCTGAGGTCGTGGGTTTTGGCTCCCAACCGGAATGATATACTGAGATACAATCCTGAGTGGAAATCAAACCCACGATCATTTATTCTATGTATTTAGAAATCTGTAAGTATGTTTATGATTTTAACCAGACTCCTTATAAACATACTTAGATTGGTTTGGTTGGATACATATACCTACAGATTGGTTTACAGTTTGGCTCTGGTAATAGCACAGGCTCTGCCTAATTTAGAATTAGACCGGCTGTCTGTGACATATGACAAGTTATTATTATTACAAATAATTTATCAGATTCAAATTGTAGAAAAGAACTCATTAGATGTCAGATTCAACTTAATTACCTACTTTTATGGAGAAACGTCGCTTGAGAGCTGCTGCAACAGTACCGAATATGACGTCAGAGTAATGGAGTATTTTACAATTCATTCATTTATTGCCTCAACCGCGTAACCAAACATTATTCACCTCAATTACATAATACACGTACCTACTTTTCGTTACTATCCACACTTAAAACAATACACAGCGATATATAACTAACTACAGTATGACGCAGCGGCGTGCACAGGATTATGACACTAGGTATGCGGAGTAGTCGGTCACAAAAACTTTTTCTTTTATAGATTTTTAGCATAGCCACAGCCACGCGACGGATCTCTAAGTCGGAAACCATGCCAACAGAACAAGTCTTAGATGTACTACTATTCATGTACATCTTCAACGGAAACGCAGACAAAA